ATCCACATGAAGAACTCTGGATGTTAAGTTCTTCCTCAAAACATGCTATAATTCTGGTAATGACATATAGATTGATAGAAAAGATTGGTACCTCACTCGTGTATGTGTATGAACATGCCTGGAGTAGAAAAGGGATTCTAAAATACAAAAGACTCAAATTAGTTTTTGTTGTTCCTGTTTACTAACTTTGAAGTTCTGTGGGGAAACAAAAAGAGAAAAGAGAAATGAGGAAGCCCTTAGAAGAACTATTCTATGTTCATGAAAGTATTAGCTTACATTTTAAAATGCATTATTTGAACTTACAGGAATACACATTTGATATATTAGTTTAAAATAATATATTTCAAATATTTCTGTTCCTTACTAACAGCCTCAAGTCTTAGAAATGTATGAGGCTTCTCCAGTTTAGATTAATTTTAAAACAATATTGAAATATTTGAGTTCCTGTAACGAATGCTTTTTGTTGCTTCACCATGTTTTGGTGAAAAAACAAAATCCCACTCAATTACTTGAAACCTCATTCATTTTCATCTGCTACCTGACCATTGTTTCTAAACCCGTCATTACACCACCTCATCTTCAAAGACAGCATTTAGAGAACCCACTGAACACCAGCACCTTGCAAACACCTCCCTGTGATGTTGCAAGGATGTCTTAGTGTATATTCCTACGTTTCATGATGCAAACACCAGAAGAGAGAAAAGTGATTATGTTAACTGCTTGTTAAGTGCTTGCACTCAGTGTTAGTGAGTCATTATCCTACAAACTGTCAGCCAGGCTGTATTAGTGAGACAAATAACATTATGAGAGGCTATTTTAAATATATATCTTGAAATAAGGCTGCACCTTAACAGAGGTCAGGAGAGTTTTACATTTCTCCTTTATATACACTGAAAAGATAGAAAAGCTGTGTGAGAAACACCAGAGTGGGCATTTAAAATACTGCCTTTTACCACAGAAGTTTAAAAGTGACTCTCACAACAAAGTAGGTTAATGGAAATAAAATCATAGAATGGATTGGGTTAGAAGGGACCTTAAAGATCATCTAGTTCCAACCCCCTGCCATGGGCAAGGACACCTTCCACTAGACCAGGTTGCTCAAAGCCTCATCCAACCTGGCCTTGAACGCTGCCAGTGATGGGGCAGCCACAGCTTCTCTGGGCGACTTGTTCCAGTGCCTCACCGCCCTCATGAATTAAAGAATTTCTGCCTCATATCTAATCTAAATCTACCTTTCTTCAGTTTAAATCTATAATCCCTTGTCTTATCAGAAACTTTGTCCTATCAAAATCCAGTGTCCAGTGTTATCAAACACAGCCCTATGAAACCATGAGTTTATGAACCAGAGTTCATAAAGATGTTCCTGATATGCATAAATATTTACACAACTACAGCTGCAGGCAAACATATCATATAGTTCAAAACCAAGCCAAGCCAAAGTATGAGTCCTATGCAGTAAACCAGATGAAATTGTAAGGGCCTTTGGGGCACTGACTGGCCCTGACCAGCTTCACCTTGGCCTCAGCTTCAGCCCATGGTCCAGGAGCCACATTTAAGCTCAGCCACTGCATGAGCTGCGCTTTAGGAGCTGGCTGTGGACCCTGTTGATCCTGGCCCCAGGACTGACTTCCCAGGTTCATGTTGGACCTGCCTAGCAATTGCTGGGCCTGACCCTGAGATGTGGATTGACTTCCTGGCTTGGCCTCAGACCTGCCTCATCACCACAAACATAACTAGTGTTCTGGACTCTTGCTCGATCCTGGGTGCCAGCAACTGGGTTTGCCCAACTCTCCTTATGATGTGGGACCCCTGCCTTGCTGAAGTGTTACCACCCGTCTCCTTGGGAGCCACCAGCCTTTGTCATGCCTAACAGAAGCACACAGTGGTATAGGCACAACATGTCTAACTTGTACCTTGGTATACATATGCACACCCTTATTTAACCAGATACTAATGTATGCTGGCCTCACTCAAAAATGATGAATATAGATTTTCTCTTCTTTGACATAACTGTTGAGTGGTAATTCAATATGATTATGTACTGACACTGTCAAAATGGTACTCTCAAAAAGGCTATTCAAAGACAAGAAAAAAAAACCCAGCTGAAATACAATAGTTGGCTACATTGTATGAGCCTACTCTCAAAACACAATAAGAAGAAATCCATGGAATAATTTGGAATATAAATTTTACACCTTTCAAAAACAATTATAAAAACACAATATCCTTGATCTGGAAAAAAAATGCAATTTGATCTGTAGCCCTAAGCATTTAGAAGCACATCCTACGCGCTGCACTTGTGTAAAAGTAGTGTTACTTCTCACTCAAGTAAATTAAATCAAGTAGAATCAAGGGTCATGCTACAATCTTTCACAGGCTAATAAAGGCTTTGATAAAACTCAATGTGTTTTTTTAAAATGCACCTGCTCCTACAGTTTCAGTGTATCCCAATCCTCTAAAAACAGTCAGCAATATGACTGACTAGCTCTCTGAATTTTAACAATATGGATGAAGATACAAACTTAAATGGGAAGTTTAGATTGGGTATAAGGAAGAAGTTCTTTAGTATGAGGGTGGTGAGGCACTGGAATGGGTTGCCCAGGGAGGTTGTGAATGCTCCATCCCTGGCGGCGTTCAAGGCCAGGTTGGACAGAGCCATGGGTGGCATGGTTTAGTGTGAGGTGTCCCTGCCCATGGCAGGGGGGTGGAACTTGATGATCTTAAGGCCCTTTCCAACCCTAACTATTCTATGATTCTATGATTCTTGGCAAAGCAAGCAGTATTAAAAGACAGACTAAAGTACATCAATTTCTGAACAAATATTCTGCAAACAAAGAAGTATGTTAACCCTGGGGGAAAAGAAAAAAAGGAGAAAACAAACCCCAAACTTATCTAATTAGTCCTCATTTACCTTTTCACATTTAAATATCTAGCACTCATAAGTGCAATAATAAAGAAGTGCATCTTTGTCTTTTTTACTATAAAAACTGTGACATGAGATAAAGGACATTATGAGGCTATTATGAAGTTGAGAGGAAATCTATATAAGTTCTGATGAGCTAATGGTTCATTGGAGTTTAAAAAGATCATTCACATTCCTAAATACTTCACTTCCATTTAATAAGACATTGATCCATTATTAATCCAGACCTGCAATACTCTACTTAGATCTGCGTAGGTATCTTAAATAATTTGATATGTTTATTTCTATGAAAACACAAATATGACAACACATATATATATAACAAGTTATATACAATGTCCTTCATTACTCTATAACAACAACACAATATATCAATGAAAGATGGCTGTTGCTGCTTTTCATCTTGCTGGGCTCCAGCATATATGAAACACAACTCCTACAAACCACAAAGAAGAAGCATCTGGTGCAAAATTCCAGATAGTCTGGCTTCTCTCCATTGTCAGATTCTCAGCCATTTCTGTAAGACCTTCAGAAGTGCCAGGAAACCAAAACTAGTTTCTTATGTCTTCCCATAGAAATTAGTAGTGTTTAGGCAAATAACACACATTTACACAAACCACCAGCTAGCACTACGTATGTTCTAACTACTGACTTCTACAAGCAGCATCCTTACCCCTCTGAGTTCACCTACCCAAGAGTGTCAAGTAACACACACTCCTGCTTCTTGCAGATACACCAATGCATTTCCTATGCCGGTAGGAAAAAATAATCAGTAGTAGAAACCTAGGCCCTTACAGCTGTGCTCAGCAAGCTAAGGTCTCACAGGTCCCTACTGAATAAGGGAGACCTTGTTTGATAATGGTCTGCGTATATCTTTTTGACAGCTGAGGCCTAAGCACAGGTAACAGTGTTAACCATCTTCTACAAAATCACTGCAAGCCTAGAAGCCATCACATCAGCTCTGCATTGCTGGAGACTGCCCAGTCTGCAGATACCTGGCATTGGTTGCTCTGCAGTCACAAACTGTCTCAGTGGAACTAATTTGGAGATACTCTCACCCATATTCTCAACAGATAGTGAAATGTGCATTACGTACTATCAGTTACAAAGCCTACTGATTCACTGCACACAGCTCATGGAGGCAGAGGTGGAAACTTTTAAAAATGACTTCTCTTACACAGCCTCTCCTGCTACAGTACCTTATGTAGATTTTACATCTAATCATCAAAGCCTGCCTTTACTGTCAAATGTTCTCCTTAAGACTATCTTAAATGTTCTGCAGCAACTTCAGCCAGTATGCAACCCAAGTGCCCACCAGACTAGGGCTAGCCCTCTGAATGCACACACAACCTTGTTAAAGTCCTGGTATCATCTCTCCATTTGCTTTTTCTGCAAAAGAAGCGTTGGTTATGGATCTTGAAAACTTTGATCTAATATGGCTACAGGTATTTGTGAGACAAACATGACAGTTAAGGTCAGCTGGGACATATGAGCTGTATGTACATCTGCACTTTCTGTGACAACAGAAAAGTGTCAGTGAAGGCTTTAGTCTTTGACCCTTAACAGTTCATAGACGTTTGAGTCTGGTGACCTTCAAAACAAAATATACCTATCTTCTTTACTACTTGATGAACTAATTTGTATTTCAAATTCCTTTAAATGAAGCACCTATCTGTCAGGATGATAGGCACTGTACAGAACTTGCAAAGACAAAAAGAACTAAATAAAGCAATCAGAGAAGCCTTTTATTCAGCTGCTACAATAAATGACAGATAGTCTCATTATGCAATTCCCCCAGCTCCTCTTAACATACCTGACCCCTAGAGCTGTATCACATGATTCATCAGTATTATAGTTTCAAATATTTTTCAAAAATAGTGCAGCAATATCTCCTTGCAGTGATTTTGCAGTATTGGTCTTGGACACGAAGAACTGAAGATACACAAAGTGCACATGCACATCTCACAGATCATTCGGTGAGAACAACAAAAGAGATGGTGTGCAAACAGAATCTGTATATGAATGGGGGGACAGTGTGAAAACAGCAAAAAAGACCCAGACATGGCTGTGATTTTACCTGTTGCCTCTTCTCAAATTCTAACTTGATACGGGATTTGATGCAGTTGCATGTGTCCTGATAGGTCTGCTGCAGGGCAAGTTCCATGAGGTGTTTGTGGTATGCTCCTGCCAAGTTTCCGCAGATAAAAATGATGACGTTTGCCAATATCTAGGGGTTTTAAAAAAAAAAAAAAGGAAAAAAAAAGGAAAAAATGTTAGGAAATGTATTTAAATAAATTAACAGAACGTAATCCTAACCTGCAATGAAAGATGGCTGCAGTTATACATTTTGGTTTTGTTTGATTCTAGCAAAGATTCCAAAAAGCCTTTCCAAAACCCATCACAATTAGTGGCATAATCCCAAGCAATAATACCATTTTGATTTAGGTTTAAATAAGAATGATAATGAACAACATATTTTCCTACTCAATGAGGCACACATTTTCTGTAAAAGAAATTCTGCTCATGTTCTACATCCACTGCTGAGTATTAATTGGGTGGAATCGTGATCTACTGACATAAAACAATAGCTATAGCTCCTAATAACAACATTGAAGGCCATGTTATTGCCACACTCTTTTGGCAAGACGTTTTCTTTTGCAGTGCCATACAATTAAGGGGTGAAAAGTTCCACCTACATCAACAGCATGACCTGCATTTTACTTCAGCCTGACCCACTACTACATGTCAGTCAACTATAAATATTAGGCTTGGTGATGGTTAAGCAACTTTTAACTAGTGAGATACGACATCTCTACTAGAATATAATTTCCACTACTACTGAAGAACTTCATTTGACTAAAACTTAATCTACTAAATTTTAGGGTCAAACAGCATTAGGTACTCAGTGTACACAGCACCATATGAACATGAGAAGTAAATTAGCTTAAGGAATACACTTATTTAGTAATAGTCAGTGACATTTCAGAGAGTAAAGAGAAGAGAGAGGCAGGCCTTTCCTGTGCTTAAACTCTGAAAGGGACAGAATACTGTGTGGTGATACTAGTACTTTCAACTGACCCCAGTTTATTGCTGCAAAAAAAAAAGACACATTTACCCATCCTAGCTCACCTAGAGCAGAAGAAACACAGTAATGAAGCCAATTCTTAATTCAATGAAAAAAAGATAGATACAGCTGAATGTGATCAGAGCAGGTCGCTATCTGTAAGGCTCTAATGTATAAGGCCCTGTATGATTATAGTCTAGATTACAAGTACTACATGATATATTCGGCATATCAAGGATAAGAAGGTTATGAGGGGCAGTCAACATGGCTTCACCAGGGGGAAATCATGTTTGACCAATCTCTTAGCCTTTTATGAGGAAATAACACGGTGGATGGATGATGGCAGAGCGGTGGATGTGGTCTACCTTGACCTCAGCAAAGCATTTGACACAGTCTCCCACAGCATCCTCACGGCTAAAATGAGGAAGTGTGGACTGGATGATCAGGTAGTGAGGTGGACTGCGAACTGGCTGAAGGAGAGAAGCCAGAGAGTTGTAGTCTATGGGGCTGAGTCTAGTTGGAGGCCTGTAACTAGTGGAGTGCCTCAAGGGTCAGTACTGGGACCGGTATTATTTAATATATTCATCAATGATTTAGATGAGGGAATTGAGTGTACTATCAGCAAGTTTGCTGATGACACTAAGCTGGGAGGAGTGGCTGACATGCCAGAAGGCTGTGCTGCCATCCAGCGAGACCTGGATAGGCTGGAGAGTTGGGCAGGGAGTAACTTGATGAAATATAACAAGGGAAAGTGTAGAGTCCTGCATCTGGGCAGGAACAACCCCAGGTTCCAGTATAGGTTGGGGAACGACCTGTTAGAGAGCAGTGTAGGGGAGAGGGACCTGGGGGTCCTAGTGGACAACAGGATGACCATGAGCCAACACTGTGCCCTTGTGGCTAAGAAGGCCAATGGCATCCTGGGGTGTATTAGAAGGGCGGTGGTTAGTAGGTCGAGAGAGGTCCTCCTTCCCCTCTACTCTGCCCTGGTGAGACCGCATCTGGAGTATTGTGTCCAGTTCTGGGCCCCTCAGTTCAAGAAGGACAGGGAGCTGCTGGAGAGAGTCCAGCGCAGGGCAACAAAGATGATTAAGGGAGTGGAACATCTCCCTTATGAGGAAAGACTGAGGGAGCTGGGTCTCTATAGTTTGGAGAAGAGGAGACTGAGGGGTGACCTTATCAGTGTCTATAAATATATAAAGGGGGAGTGTCACGAGGACGGAGCCAGGCTCTACTCAGTGGCAAACAATGATAGGACAAGGGGTAATGGGTACAAACTGGAACACAAGAGGTTCCACTTAAACTTGAGAAGAAACTTTTTCTCAGTGAGGGTGACGGAACACTGGAACAGGCTGCCCAGGGAGGTTATGGAGTCTCCTTCCCTGGAGACATTCAAAACCCGCCTGGACGCATTCCTGTGTAACATTATCTAGGTGTTCCTGCTCCGGCAGGGGGATTGGACTAGATGATCTTTCGAGGTCCCTTCCAATCTCTAACATACTGTGATACTGTGATACTGTGATATCATAGTACTCATCATCTGGAAGAGAAGGAAGAAGAAAGGAGGCAAAAATTTCATGAGTTCTCCAAAGTTAATCTAATCATGAGGTTTATGATAAATTTCCCCAGCCATCATTCATTGGTTGGTTTTAGTGTACATTTGTTTTGGTGTACATTTGTACATTTGGCTTTTTTTGGTGAAAAAAAAAAAAGAATGACAGTACGTGATAGTGGTTCAGAGAAGAGATATTTCCTATTAACAGAAATCCATCTCTTTAATTTCACAAAAATTATCATCTCGTTTTATTCACAAAAAAAAAGAAATGGAGTTTTAATGCTCCTTTTATAAATGCACACTTTAAAATCAAAGTTTTAAAGGAATGCTTTTATTTTCCACAGAAATTGTAACATTGCTACAGGCAGTACCTGTTCCTCCATCTGTGACATGTCTGACATCTCACTTATCATGGTTCCACTAAGGTAAAAACTACAACTATACACCTTTGCCACAAAAAGGACTGACGTTTTAAATTTGATAAAACTTTTCTATCTTTCCCTAAAACTTTCTGATCATGGCTTTATAATGTTCCTAAAAGCAACATCTGAGTTCTTAATTTTTTCTAAAATATGTAAATGTAAAAACAAGGAGAAAAATCTAAATATTTCACGTTCTCCAAAGAATTTATGTTATGAAATAGAGGGATAAGAAATTATTTAAATGAAACCTTTCACAAAAGCCAACAATTAAAAAGAAAAAAAGTAAGAGCTGATGGTGCAGAAAAACATTTGAACTCAAAATACTTTTGTATTTCTTTGTTAATCATAACTGCTTGATTCTGCTTTGATGTTAGAAACGTCATGGCATTCTTAGTGAACAAAGATCTTATGTGACAGGTTACAGTGCAGGGGTAGGGTGTTCCAAGTGGCAATCATTTACAGTTTTTGAAATGAAATTATGAAATGAGAACAAATGCCTGAAAATAATGGTTGTTAGGCAGAGAATTCTCAGATATGCAGTGGGAAGATTTAGTAATAAAATGAACACTGAACTGAACTGAAGTCAACAGTGTGCTGTCATAATCTCTATGTAGAGATCATTGTTGAAAAGATGCATACAAACTTAATAAATGCGCTGTCCAGCTCCATAAAGTTATAGACTATTTAAAACAAACCTTCAGGAATATAACCAATCAGAACAGAAATAATAAAATACTGTGATGGGTAGATGGAGGAGTAAATTATGAGTATCATCTTCACAGCCATAGAAAAACAGATTACAGTTTTATGACTGAACTAGCTGAAGTGAGAAAATAGATGGAAACAAGTGATTGACAGGTAAGGAAGCTAATTAACTAAGCTTTTCAGATTCTCAATGGGGTAATTCAGCCCACATGAAGCTCTGTTCTGGATTCCAGTACCTGAATTAGGCTGTTCAAAGACAACTCAGATACCTCAGCCATTGCCATACTTAGTGTAGATGTCACATGTAAGCGTATAAGCGAGTAAGTAGATAGAAACTGTGTTCAAAACATCATTAATTCTTTTGGCTAGCATAGAGTTTATTCAGAAATGAGTTACTAGTGTATTAATTTAGAAAAAAAAAACAAACAAGAAATAGACAAACTGGTTTCTGAGTCAGACCAACAGATTTTTGCCTTTGTGTGGTTTGGCTTCAATGAATGTATCTGCATGTGTCACTGAAGAGTTACAGAGTGAAATACGTATTTTCTATTGACTGTTAAATGAAAAATGTCATAAACATTACTAAAGAAAATAAAAGCACATATCCTTCATACTGAATATCTCATTTCTCTAAATCTGGCGATTTCTTCTGAACTGTGGCCCAGCCCCAGCATATGAGGTGGAGATGTGCTCAGTCCCACATTTGCTCTAAAGTCTCATAGGCATTCTCCCAGAAGGAATAGGTTTAAAGTTTTCATCATTAAAAAAAAAAAAAAAAAAAACCAAAAAAAAACAAATAAATAACTGAGCTTTCAATTTCCTAAGCAAGTTCTCCAATCAGAATGCAACTGTACAAAAAGTTCCTTTTGTTCTGGCACCTGCTCTGAGAAGACACCATGCTGCGAATCCGACCTGTACAGAAACACTTGGAGTGAAATCCTGTGGTGGATCAGTCTTCTACCTTGTCATTTCTCTAGGCCACGACTCTGCAGCTCTCTTTTCCTCTTTTTGTTTTTCTTTTATCTTTTGATGCCTGCCTCTCTCCCCCCCCCCCCCCCAATGAATGCTGGCTAGTAAGAGAAAATGTGGTGAATCTTCTGGTAACAAAATGCATCTTGCTGCAAGAGCTCTGATCAACTATGCAGATAACGTTATAGCCAAGAGACCTCTATAACAGACTTAAGGGGCACCCGAATAGGCTTGCACTGTTTTGTAAGGGCTTCTGCCAGAAAGGATAAGCCTGAACGGAGGAGGAGGGTGTAAACAGCAGTGTAACTCAACAGCAGAAAATGACCAAGGTGACCTCAAAGCCAGTATTGCATGAACCTAATTAATCTCCTTTACAAACATACATTATACAAAAAAAAAACCACCCCGCAATAAACATAAACTCTAGTAAGCTCCCATTCAATTCAACATATGGAAACACTGAGTCACATAGCAGAAGTTCTAAACTCTGCACAGTCAGTGAAGAGGCAAATCCA